TGGATTTGGCATTTTTGTCCACCTATCAAGTCCTTCCCAAGGACCTGGGATAGGCAGATGGGGTTGGTTGATGGTCTTAAGGTATCGTCGCAGGATGGAAGCTGTTCCAAGTAAAGCTGCCTTTTGCTATTGACTGATGGTGATTTTGTCAACGCTGATGGTCTTCAAGTGGTGCTCCACATGTTTTGGGATTGCACCCAAGGCACCTATTACTGTTGGTACAATCTTTGCTTTATTATTATTTTATTATAGACAAGAAAAGCCAAGAGGCAAAGAAGCAAAGCCCAAGAAGGAAACTTCATTCTTTCTATGAGGTTAAACAGGAAATAGGCAGGTAAAAGTGAACTTTTTCTTGGTATCCGCTGTTATTTTGTGGGAAGATGTGAGACCTGGGAAACCACTGAATAGCAAACCTTTTTGCCCAAACTCAGAAGTTGAATTGACCCTTTTATTCTCTGAATATTTAACGGTTCCCAGGGGTTCCTTCAGCATTCTCAAGAGAGTTATCCATAAAGGCAACCGTATGCCCTGTGCAGCCAAATTCATCCCCCTGCGAAGCCGGTTGAGGGAACAGGCCTATCGAGAAAGAGATATTCTAGTCCAGCTCTCCCATGACAGAATCACCCAGCTGCTGGACCAGTTTGAAACACGGAAAACCTTAATCCTTATTTTGGAACTGTATCCTTTTTTCCTTTCCTCCCAAGTCCGGTATGTCCTGAAAAGGGCAATAAGAAAGGTATGAAAGGAGATGGAGTTAAGACACTAATGCTCAGTGTCCTTCCTTGTCGGGGTAGGCCAGGTCAAGAAACAGGCACCACAGGGACTTCAGGAATGCTTCTTTACTGTTTGTAAGATCCATCAATAGAATCTTGAAAGCTTCTCCAAGTTTCTTTCTGTCCCATCTTATCTTAAACACCATCAAGGCAGGGTTGTTTACTTTCTTACACCTCTCTGTTTCTCAGGATGATGCAATGTCTTCTGCAAGTTACTCCTTAATAGTTCTTTCATACCTTCCCCAAGATCAGTTCTCAATTCCTTTGCACTCCTTGTGAGTAGGGCTTGCATATGAGGAGGTGTGGGACAGTGTGCAGGATGTCCAGAGGTCCCTGAAGAGGTGGCAGCGGGATTGCATTGCAACAGCACTCCTCTCTCAAAATGCCAATATCTCATGGTGGCAATCACTTTACTTCTATATTTCTTCAAGTCCCATCTTGCAACCATAGGGATACCAAAAGTCTTGGGCCAGCCCCTCTCTCTTAGCCTGAATGGTTTGGCCAGATGGGGAGAGTAAATTGTTGGAGGATTCTTTGGAAAAAAATTATCAGAGATTTATTTGTTTGCTCCTCTCTATGGCTTTGTCGATATTTCTTAATGTATTAGATGTTCCAACGAAGAACTTCTGGACCGCCTGTACAAAAAGAACGTGGTGACGGAAGCAGAGGTGATATTCCTTTCTCATGTATTTTATGGAGAAGACCAAAGATTTTAAGACAAACAACGATAGTTGAATTCAGTCAAGCATTCTTCCCCAGCTTAATTCTTTTCCAGTGTAGTAGGCTCAACTTCCATTATCACCAACCAGCTCCAAATATAATTCTCAGCCACCAGTGACTTTGCTGGCTGAGGAATGTATATATGGACAGCATCAGGCTGAGGAAGGCCAGCATAATAATTTTGAAATCAGAAATATTTACTTAGATTAGTACTCTGCTGCAATCAAGAAGGCTCTCAGTGATTCTCATGTATCAAGAGAAATACAGTAAAACATCCACATTGCAGTAGCGTGGTTGACATTACATCCATGTATAAAGGGGCGGGGTTTCCACAGCTGCCATCTTGACAGTTTTGACCCCCTCCTAGGGACACCACGGAGTCAGTCTGATGGTGTTAGCTCATTCTCCCAAATGCTATCCAAAGTAACTACATTTTTAATAGCTTGCAGAAAGTCAATCAAGTTGGGGGGCAGATTGAATTTCTGAGGGCAGGTGGCTGCAAAGTATAGACAAACCTACTGAAAAGGTGCTCTTGTGAACTTACCCCAAGAAAATGTTGGGGGGGGGGAATACCATCAGTTTCCCTGGGGATGTTCAATTATGCTTTTCCACATGACATCAAGATAAGAATTTGACTTTTTCCTCCTCATATAGGTCAAATTCTATATCAAACAACTTCTAGAAGGGATTCTCTATCTTCACAACAGTGAAATACTACATTTGGATATCAAGGTAAATTTTCACAAAGACTGAGAGCTAATGCCATTAGGATGATTTCCATTAATATTTTGGGATGATCACCTGTTGACTGAATGTTGAAGGAAGCCCACTGAAAAACAAATTAACCTTTTTACAAAGTTGTTGTAAAATTAGGGGCCAAGAGGGAACTGGAGAATGAGGATGAAGCTCCATGGTGATCCCTAACCCTTGAAGAGTTGGGGAGAGAGGGAGGGACAAAATGGTCAGAAGTTCTGAGTGGACAACTTTGCACACTACATTTGCCTGGGATTCAGTTCAACAAGCCCCACACAGCTGAGTTAGAGCAAGACTTTGTTAGTGCTAATTGCAGGAGGAGAGTTGTGTTACTCTGTGGCTGAAAATCAGGAGCAGTGTGGTCACCCCTTTTCCAACTAACGTATTTTATTAAAAGACAGAAGCTTTCGTGAGCTTCAGCTTCTGCTGATTAATAATATTTGTTAGTTGGGAAATGGGCGACCAGATTTGCTCTGTTTCATTAATGCTAGTCTTTCATGCTACTCTTATGGGAATAATCACAACTAGAAACTAGAAGAGAAATTTTCCACTTTCGCTTCTAGTAAGTTCATTAAGGCAAAGTCTGTTGGAAGGATTCAAAATGCTTCTTCCCAGATTTCTCCCCACCTAGGCTGAGTTGCCATCTATGAGAGAAGCTGCTAACAGATTCCCCTCCTATTTTTTGACTATTTATATCTGTTCCTTCCTCTGTTCCTTTCCCACAATCTCTCACATCGGCCTCTGCAGTGTTCAAAGGAAAACAAGGAGAACATCCTGATTGAACAGAATTGGGGCCCTATGAAATATCTCAGAATCTCAGCAAGGAAACCAGTTTGAGTGCCCTTGTTCATTGACAGGTTTTATGCCTCAGTTCTTTTCCATACCGACGTTCCCTTCTGTTTCTACTTCCACAGCCCTCAAACATTTTGATGGTTCACAATGACAGGGATGACATTAAGATCTGCGATTTTGGCTTCTCTCAAAAGATAAATCCGTTTGAGCCTCAGTACAGCACATATGGGTCTCCTGAGTTTGTCTCACCTGAAATTCTCTCCCGGTCACCAGTGTCAACAGCATCTGACATCTGGTAAAATAATCCTATCCCTTCTTGTTTCTTCTAGTTTTGCTATAACCTTCCTCACTGCTTTTAGTGAACCTTATCGAAGGTAGGTGGAGACCGCCTGAAAGGTGTTTTCCTGCTGCTGCTGATCCAGAATCTGCTAGGCATCCTTCAGATAAAAATCTGGTCTAATGGCATGGCCAACCTTATGGGTCCATGTGAAAAATACCTCTCCTAGTCTGTCTTTGTTGGTTCCCCCTTGTGTAATCCTTTCTCTCTTGGACCTTATCTCAGTAACTGACTGGTTCATGGGCCTGCATTTTGAGCCTTATGGACCAAACAGGCTGAGAAATGAAGAAACCATGGAAAATTATTCTGACAGTGGTAGAATCCAACCCGTCCTTCAGAGTAGTGTTTCTTAACCTTGGCAACTTTAAGATGCTGGCTGGGGAATTCTGGGAGTGGAAGTCCACACATCTTAAAGTTGCAAAGATTGAGAAACTTCATTTCAGGGTACCAGACTAGGGAGGGTTGATCTATCAAGGCCTTACTGGGTATTGAAATCTCTTTCTGATACTTGTTTCATTTTCTACAGGCCAGTTGGAGTTATTTGCTATTTAAGGTAAGCATATGGGACCTTAAGAGTATTACACTGTATTACATCCTTCTCCTTCTGAAAAAGAGCCATCCTTAGACAAATTATTCCTCTTACTTGCTTAGTCACTGCAGATTGCTTGGCTTCTGCAGATGGGGACCCCCCGCCCTGGTTTGGTCCTTCACAATCACAGAGTCTTCTTGGATCCCTTTCCTGCCTCTTCCCTCCCTGGTTTAGAGAATGAATAGAACCTTCTTTTCCTAATGAAAAGAACCTTCTTTTCCTAATCCTAAGTCAGTTTGGATTCATCTCTAGATTTGCCTAGAATTAATTAAGCACCTTTTATGGGCCAGTTTCTACATTAAAATATATATTCAAACCCATTTTAATTCAATATTTTGCTTAACTGAAGGACATCAGCTTGGGTTAAGCCCAGGTTGGGTTTAGTGGAGGTAACAGTGACATATTCTACATTATCACAGCAAATAAAAATAAGCAAGGAGATACCAATTTGTTCTGGAAAGTTCGATTAAGGAATCATATGGAGTTTGTCCCTTCCATATCAAAGTGGCTTTGTGTCTGGTTTTATTTATTTATTTATTAAAATATGTATAGGCTACTTCTTATCACCAACAAATGATCATCCGCTGCCTTTTCTTTCCGTATAGGCATACTTGGTTCATGACTATACAAACATTTCACATTTTTGTGCTCTTTTAAAATGATTAGCTTGACGTGCAAATCTCCATTTGCTGGGGAAAATGACCGAGCAACCCTGCTTAATGTCCAGCATGGGATCATTTCGTGGGATAGCTCTGACTGGGATCATTTGAGCAAAGAAGCAAAGGATTTTATCTTAAAGATACTTCAACCAGCTCCAGGGTGAGTAGATGAGTACACTTTCCTTTTCACTTCACACAGACAGCATAGAAAGTAGGTTATTTGTAAAATATGAACTCATTTCTCCAGTATTTTAGAAGAGGGATAGTCTTGAGGGTCAGACTGGCTCTGAGAAAGCTACCAATCTATTTGCCAGGAGGGGTATGGCCGAATCAAGAAGCGTCCTCTGGAAAGGACAAAAAATCAAGATGGCAGCCATGGCTTGAAACTCTGCCTCTTTTTATGTGCGTGGCATGTGTGATGCACATTAAAAAGGGGAAGAGCTTTAATAAAATGGTTGCAGTTGCAATTTTGACCCCAACACGTCTGGCTGTCCTGCACTACCAGTTATCCACAGAAATGCACACAGATGGCTTCTAGTATGAACTCAAGGTATTTATTTCAATTGTAAATCTTTATATACTTATTTTATTTTATGTTATTTATTTCACGGATTTATAAGGCTACCCAATTCAAGCAACGTCACTTTGAGTGGTTTACAATAGAAATAATGACAAAAACAGTGCTATAATTAATAGATGGATGGATGGATAGAGATAGATAGAGATAGATAGATAGATAGATAGATAGATAGATAGATAGATAGATAGATAGATATGAACCAAATGGGGTAATTAACAACCAAAAGGGGACTCCAGTCAACTGGCCCCTAATATCTGGGGGAAAAGCCAGGTCTTAACAGCTTTCCTAAAGGCAAGCAGAGTTGGGGCCTGTCGTATATTGGGGAAAGATCATTCCAGAAAGAGGCAACCACAGAAAAGTCATGCTTCCTAGGTCCCATAAAAAGACAAGATTTAAAAGAATGGACCTCATGCATGCCTTCCCTGTGGGAGTGTGTAAGGTGGGCAGATGTCCTTGAGAAAAGACTTTAACAGAAGTAGCAAAAAGTATGCATCAAACACAATGCTTTTTGCAAAGAAAACAGGGATAAGACCTTCCTTTTGCAAAACAGTCCAGAGAGATGTCAAATTCAGGATGATCCAAGAATGATCTCTTTCCGTTCCAAGGCTCTGAGTAATCTAACAACAGACAGACAGACAAAGTCACAGGTAGGCATTGAGAATGTTATTTGCCCGAAAGAGCCAGTCAAGCTGCTTGTTCTTTATCACCCTGATTACCAGCTTAATTAATTTGCTGAGTTGTGCTTACTAAGCTTCAAGTATGAAGCTTGACTTTCTTGTTCTTCCCTTCACATTTGCTGAACTCAGGCTCTGAGCCAGCTGACTCAGCCCATACTTGAGTTTCCCCCAGTGCCTTGTTCACCAATGTATTCACTTCAGTTAATTCCTGGGTTGCAAGCTGAAAATCAGTCAAGTCAAGTCAAGTCAAGTCAAGTCAAGTCAAGTCAAGTCAAGTCAAGTCAAGTCAAGTCAAGTCAAGTCAAGTCAAGTCAAGTCAAGTCAAGTCAAGTCAAGTCAAGTCAAGTCAAGTCAAGTCAAGTCAAGTCAAGTCAAGTCAAGTCAAGTCAAGTCAAGCTCTTTAGCTTCAGATGTTCATGTGGAGGCAGATTAACTGTAAGGCAGTTATTAATCTTTGATTATTTAGCCTTTGCAGCCTCAAAGTTTCAGGCCTACCTAGATCTACGTATCTTATTCTCTACCCATATTAGGAGAGAATTAAACATTCTCCTCTGGCAAGTGAGAACATAACTAAGCAATACAGGGAGTTGCTGGCTAATCTGCTGCCATACAGGGTGGGTGGGGGAACACTCTCCAGCCTCTGAATCTGAAGATGCAGACATTGGACAGCCCTCTGGGGATGCAGCCCCTAAGCTTTTTCCAAGATCTGAATTAATTATGCACACTCATGCCCTCATCCTTGGACTCACTTTCTTTCTTTCTAGAGGCCCATTTACACATGTTCTTGTAAAGTCTTCACCAAAATATTCCCTTCCCTGGCACACAGAGACTTTTAAAAATCTCCTTGTCACGTAGGGCATAGCTCTGATCGGGAACTGATTGGAACTGATTGGAGATGCAAACATTTGTCTTCCTGAAAAGAATTTATGGAGCTAGGGGGTGGGTGAGGGCAAGACAGGGGTTAAAACAGGGCTGGGCAGTGTGGGCTGCACGAGGCTCTGCAGCATCCCGTCTATAGGCTCCTCAGATTGCTCCGTAGACATGTGGTGACAAAATAGCCAATTTTCAATGGCAGGAGTCAGTCCTTGGAAGGCATCCTTTGGCTCTCCAATTGGTTGGGAGAGAGTTGCCAGCCTTGGTCAACACAACATCATTTATCCCTGGGTTAAAAGATACAGCATGTAAGATGAAGAACTTCTATAGTCTTCACCGTTCAGCAACTGTTAGCAAAATTTGAGAGTTTCTGACTCTCCCCAATTAGGATTCAGTCCGGCAGAAGATCAGACACGAAAGTACCAGCTGAGATTTTAAAGTTTTATTGAAAGTAAGCCAATAGAGTCAGCTGGGGTCTCCCCTTAAGGCAGAGGAGACCCCTCCCAG